ATAAAACGGTCTGAACCGACCAGTCTGCAGTCTGGCCGGACCGCCGACCAACTGTGACCGGCTGTCGGCCGCTCGGTCCCATGCTGGCTTGCTAAAGACTGGGCGTGGTCATTGGTGTGGACTGGTTAGGGCTTGACTGCTGCCGAGCCTGACTGGCACGGCTGGGCACGATAGAGCACGAGTGGCGTGCGGCTAGTCCTTACCTGAACGCTGGCGGTGCCATTGGCTTATCGCCTGCGCATGAAACGGCCATCGGCGCTGCTGGGCACCACAGGTGTTAACCTGGCCGACTGAATATGACTTCGGGCAGTAGCGTGCGACTGGCACGACGCGCGCTCATGGACTGGCCATCGAGTGCAGCTGGGCACGATCGACAGTCGACTGGACTCGTGGCGCGGCGATTGGCGCTGCCGGGCGCGACTGGGCTCTGTCGGGTGCTACCGAGCGCCACCACAGGAGACTGGACACTTGCATGCGCACATTGGCGCTGACTGGCGTGAATTGGTACTGCTCGGGCACTGCCGGGCGACCCTAACGGTACATGGCGCTCGGGCGCGCTGTTGGGCACTGCCCGAGGCTGACTGATGTGCAGCTGAACGCACTAACGTGCGCTGAAACGTACTGGCGTGCCCGAGACACCAACCGACTATCGACTGACGCGGCAGAGGCAATACGCGACGCCCAACTGAGCATACACGCACAACGCCCGCCCGTCCTGTCTGACTGCCGGTACGCTACAACTGCTGTGTGTGGCAGAGCGACTACAACCGCTCCTTACCGGCCGTCCGGCGACTTCCTCCGACAATTTAAGCTTGGATCAACATGACTTAACACAACATGAATAAATACACATAAATCGGTCGAATGACCACGAATATAACTCGATGATACGTGAACGGCCGTGGCGTGCGCACCGTGCGCAGCCCATGGCTTCGAACGATTTCTTCGATCGATCGACGACTTCTCTCAACAATTGATACATGGCTGATCATAATATATCCAATAATAACTAATGAAATGTGAATTGTTTGGGAGTTGCCGAATAAAAATAGATATGGCTTGGCATGGCTTAAATGGCACGACCGAGAGCAATTTATGGCTTATTCATGAGCTTAAACATATGATTATAACCTAACATGATAAAATTAACATTAAAATAGGGTCAAGATCAGATTGCCCTCTCAACTGCTCGGTCAATTGTGCAAAACTCTCGTGATCGTTCGGTCCTTGCTTGATCGTACGTGCATGCGATTCTTCTCCTTCTCCGCGGCTTTCTTAAGCTTAATTATAGGATATCTCTATTAACTCTCAACTAATATTAGCAGGTATATGGGATTCTCTTTTACTTACAGTTATAACCTATAAATAGGTAAAAAATGGTAAAAGAATGTGGTAGCCAATCAATTGGTGCCATTTGTCATGAGCTTAGGGCATGAGGCGTACAATTCTTGGCTTAGTCATCTAATGTATGCTTAGTCATCACCCTTCTAAGTCTCCACATGTCTTAGTAATGATGATGAGTAAAAAATGGCATTGCTCCACATGACCTTCGGCAATTATGCGTGATAAGCTTACCTTAAGCATAATTGGCATAAATTAAGCTTGATCATGCCAAGATAATGGGCATTTGTTGCTAAGCTTGGTTAGCACACGCATAATTCATGCGATTAGGCAAAAATCCTCGACCATTGACATGAGTTAAGCGTGATAGATTCGATAATCGACTCTAATAATTAGAAATTATTTCCAAGTATTAATCCTAACCTAACTTAAATAATTTCGGTCAAAACTTGACTTCGAAAATTAATTCGAATAATCATAACTTTAATAATTAGTCCCGAATGATAACGATCGATATAAAATAAATATTTCAGAACTAAACACATAATTTACATTAATAACATAGCAGGCTATTACAATCTGCCCTCCTTAAAATATTTCCGTCCTCGGAAATACAAAACGGAACATATATACATAGAACATAGGAAAATATATATATCAAAACTTAAAATTGGGAATCGAGCGCGAATATCAGCCTCCTGCTCCCAAGTGGCACCATGGAGATTCCATTGGATACGAACGATGGGAACATCGCGTTTCTGGAGCCGACGAATATGTCGGTCCAATACAACTACCGGTTTCTCCTTGTAAGATAAATCTGGATGGATTTGGATATCGGTATGCTGAATGACAAGATCTAGATCGCACACGTACTTGTGTAACATAGATACATGGAAAACATTATGAACATTGGATAACGCGGGAGGTAAGGCTAATCGATAAGCAACTTCGCCCACTCGCTCGAGAACTTCGAACTGGCCAATGAAACGAGGATGTAACTTTCCTCTCTTTCCGAATCGAACGATCCCTCGGAATGGACGAACTCTAAGGAAGGCTCGCTCTCCAACCTCAAACTGGATATCTCGTCTATGCTGATCGGCTGATGATTTCTACCGACTCTGAGCTGTCTTTAACCTTTGCCTGATCAACTCCACCTGTTCTGCTGTTTCCTCGATCATCTTCAGACCGAGTACTCGACGTTCACCGACATCGTCCCAATAAAGAGGGGAACGACACTTACGACCGTAAAGTGCTTCGTAAGGAGCCATCTGAATAGAAGCATGATAATTGTTGTTGTAAGCGAACTCAACCAATGGCAATAACAACTCCCACTTAGCACCCCTGTCAACAACCAAAGCTCGTAGCATGTCCTCCAATGTCTGAATGGTCCACTCGGTCTATCCGTCAGTCACTGGAGGGTAAGCCGAACTAAACTCTAGTCGCGTGTCCATCGCCTTGTGCAAACTCTCCCAGAATCTGCTGGTGAATCTGGGATCCCGGTCTGACACGATAGTAACATGCACTCCGTGAAGTCGAATGATTCCACGAGTATAAATCTCGGCCAACTTGTCCAAAGACATACTCATCGATACTGGTAAGAAATGAGCAACCTTAGTCAATCTGTCCACCACGACCCAAATAGCGTCGTGATGTTCAGACGACCTCGGTAACCTAGTGACAAAATCAATTGTGACTTCCTCCCACTTCCACTTCGCAATCTCAAGTGGTTGCAGAAGGCCCAAGGGACTCTTGTGTTCTGCATTGACTTGGTGACAGGTTAAACATTTCCTTACAAAGTCGGCTACATCCTTCTTCATCCCTCGCCACCAGAACGACTTTTTCAAGTCGTGATACATCTTTGTGCTCCCTGGATGAGCTAAATAGGGTGCGGTGTGAGCTTCGGTCAGTATCTCCTTACGCAAAGCCTCAACTTTTTGTACAACAATCCTGCCTCGAAGTTCTAAGGCTCCATCTGTGCCTCGGTGAAAACCCTCAATGCTTCCGGCGCGGACTTTGGCATCAATAGCACGAACCAATTAATCCGAAGCCTGCTCCTACCGGATCCTTTCCCTCAACGTAGGCTGGACCTGCATATAACTAACACTCCCCGTAATTGCTGTAGGAAGTGCATCAACAACCTGAATTTGCATCTGGGCGAACTCATGGATAAGACGGTTCTGCTCAGTAACAACATAAGTCAAGTCACCCTTCTCCTTGCGGCTTAGGGCATCAGCAACGACATTTGCCTTCCCCGGATGGTACTGAATAGTACAATCATAGTCTTTGACAAGCTCTAACCAACAACGTTGACGCATGTTGAGCTCATTTTGAGTGAAAATATATTGTAAGCTCTTGTGATCAGTAAAAATCTCGCATCGACCGCCGTATAAATAATGTCGCCAAATCTTCAAGGCATGAACTACTATGGCTAGCTCCAAGGTGTGCGTAGGATAGTTCTGTTCATGGGGCTTTAATTGGCGTGAAGCATAAGCAACGACCTGGCCATCTTGGATAAGTACGCATCCCAAACCGTTTCTTGAAGCATCACTAAAGATGGTGAAACTCCGAGAAGGATCTGGAATACTCAACACCGGTGCTGTAGTAAGCCTCTTTTTAAGCTCCTGAAAACTGGATTCACATCGATCAGTCCACTCGAACTTTACATATTTCCTCGTCAATTGGGATAAAGGAAGGGAAATCTTGGAAAAACCCTCGATAAACCTGCGATAATAGCCTGCTAAATCGAGGAAACTGCGAACCTCGGATGGATTCTTCAGTGTCGACCAACTCTGAACAGCGGCAACTTTGGATGGATCAACCTCAATACCTGCCTGAGTAATAACATGACCAAGAAAGGCTACTCGCTGGAGCCAGAATTCGCATTTAGAGAATTTAGCATATAACTTTTCACGTCTAAGGGTTTCAAGAACAACCCTCAGATTCTCCTTGTGCTCCTTCTGGCTCTTGGAGTAGATTAGAATATAATCAATGAAAACAATAACAAACTATTCAAGGTAAGGATGGAATATACGGTTCATCAAGTCCATAAATACTGCTGGAGCATTGCTGAGGCCAAATGGCATACCTACGAACTCGTAATGACCGTACTGGGTACGAAAAGCTGTCTTAGCAATATCAGACTCATTGATCTTCAGCTGATGGTAACCTGATCGTAAATCAATCTTGAAAAACACACAGGCTCCCCTCAGTTGGTCGAACAAGTCGTCGATTCTGGAAAGCGGATATTTGTTCTTGATAGTCAACCGGTTGAGATCCCAATTATCGATACACATGCGCATAGAACCATCCTTCTTCTTGACGAAAAGAACGGGTGCTCCCCACGGTGAAACACTTGGTCAGATGAAACTGATTTTCAATAACTCCTGGATTTGAGTCTTTAGTTCTTGCAATTCTTCTGGTGCCATTCGGTAAGGTGCTTTGGATACAGAGCCGACTCCTGGAATAAGGTCAATAGAGAACTCTACCTGCTGGTTAGGTGGTCCTCCTGGAAGTTGGTCCGGAAACACATCCACAAACTCACGAACAATAGGAACGTTTTGAGGTGTCTGTGCTTTTGGTTTATCCTCGACAAGGCTCACAAGATAACCCTAGCAATCGCCTCGTCGTAACATCTTTTTGGATTTCGCCATGGAAATAACATGAGGTAAAGAACGAGTCTTAGTGCCAAAGAAAGTAATATGATCATCTCCCGGAAGATAAAGAGTAATCTCACGATCATGGCATCGAATATCTGCATGAAAATACGTTAGCCAATCCATACCGAGAATGAGGTCAAAGTCCCTCATCTCGAGAACATAAGCGTCGGTAGGCAAGATACGACCACCGATAGAAAGGCTGAGATCAGTAGCTTTAGCATCAGTCACTATCTTTCGTCCCGAGGCTAAACTCACCTCGAGAGGATCGACAGTGGTAATAGAATGTACTCCAATGGCGTCAAGACATCGTCGCGATATAAAAAAGTGGGTTGCTCCAGTATCAAATAAGACGAAAACAGAAATATCATTTAGCATAATCATCCCAGACATAGTACCTGGGTGTTGATCCGCCTCGGCTTGGTCAACGGCATAAACACGAGCCTGCTGTCTGCCCCTCTGCTGCTGCTGGGGTGGCCTCGGGGCCTGTTGTCTGGGCTGTTGCTTCTGTTGTGGCTGCTGTGGTGGTTACTGGGGTCGCTTTGCACAGCGACTAACGAAATGTCCGGGCTCATGACAAAAGTAGCAAATGTCCTGGCCGAAATGACACTCTCCACGATGGAGTCGTCCACAAGTAGTGCATGGTGGAACCTGCTGTGGCATGGCTGCACCTGGTTGTCTCGGACGGATCCTCCTGTCAGTCTGGAAGCCTTTCCCCTTTCTCTTCTTGTCCTTCGGTTGTTGGGTAGCAGCTGGTTGGACTGGTGGTGCTGAGGATGATTGGGCAAGGGCAATTGGCTGAAGACCATCGTGACTGGCCTCCCTCCGGATACTGGCATCAACTTCCTGGGCTCTGGTGACAGTACGGGCATAGGTCTGGACGCCGTGACCTACAATGTTATGACGGACTACTGGCAAAAGCCCGTCAGTGAAATGCCTCGATCTCTTTGCCTCTGTGCTTACCAGATCGGGAACAAAGGCTCCAAGTCGAGTGAATTCTCGCTTTTACTCGTCCACTGTACGAGTACCTTGTTTGAGTGCCAGAAATTGACGCTCCATTTCGGCTCGATAGTACGTGGGGTAACATTTCTCTCGAATCAACTCCTTGAACCTGTCCGACGTACAACCTTCCTTTTCACCAGGATGCATTCCCCAGTAGGCGTTCCACCAGAGACATGCGTCACCCATCAATTGGATTTGTGCGCATAGAACACGATAGCGGTCGGGACAGTCCATGACCTCGAAAATCATTTCAAGGCCCTGGACCCATTCGTCCACCGTTCGGGGATCTCCTTGGCCAAAAATTTTTTTTGGATGGTAGTCGCGAAACTGGGCGACTATGGCGGCCTGGGGAACCTCCTGATGATCTGGATCTCTACGTGGCGGCATCTGAATATTGAAAACGTTCGATATTATCAGACACAGGAAAAATAATTTAACTGATGAATAAAACGCACAAATCTCTTGACTAGTTGTTAAACATGACCTCGAAAATACTGACATTGAATCATAAACATACTAGACTATAAATCCTGAACATAACTCGAGCATCCTAACTAGTTCGTAACTGTGAATTCTACAGAGCATAGACATAGTCATTTGTTTATAATTTAAAACATGAATCAGCACTTACCTGTAGTTGGCGAGGCGTGAGCATGACGTGTTTAGGTTTTATAGAAATTTCTGACTCGTAAAAGTTTTCAGAGACGTAGAAACGTGCTCTGATACCAACTGTAACACCCTGCTGTGTCGTAAATATCAGAGTTAAATTTTTGCAAAATCTTTTCTTAAAAATACCTATAAGTTGAGAAATCATGATTCGGAGTGCTACCATAGTACGTTACTTTGCTTTGAAATCCGCTATAGTTTTTAAGGAAAACGGTTTATCAAAATATAAACAATTTGACTGGTAGGTCGGATCAAAAGGCTAAGTTTGACAAACAGTAAAAGTCGGCGGAAATCGTATCGTGGCAAAACATTTAACTCCAACTACGGGAGATAGTAACAGCA